TTTCCCTGCGCTATGTACTGGTGCTTTTTTTTTTTTTTTTTTAAATATGAAAGTCCAGGGTGTTGTAGAGGCCAGTCAGTGCGTGCACAGTGATCCAGGGTGTTGCAGAGGGCAGTGAGTGTGTGCACAGTGATCACCAATGGGAAACAGGCAGAGAATTGCCAAACAAAGAACAGAAAAAGACCAAAATGGAAGCCCACAGCTACCTAAACAAGTCCTGTGGATGAGCAGTGCACACAGTGTCACACACACACAACTGTTAGTAAACAAGCGAGTCACAAGTTGGGATCCACACAGTGTCACACACACACAACTGTTAGTAAACAAGCGAGTCACAAGTTGGGATCCCGACCAAATCAGATCGATACAATAAGATCACGAACTACCCATAGAAACACACACACACAAAAAAAAAAAAAAAAGAGGCTCAGTGACCTTGCTGGACTAGAGGAAAAGGCACCTAAAATGAAATATTTTAATCCAGCCTCGGTAGAGAATTCATAATTTCGTTTAGGTGCTGCAACGAGTTAATAACATTAAAAGTTAAAAAGTTTGAAACATCGAAACATAAACTTTAAAGTTCGATGGCTAAATACATGGCAATCAAATCATGAACTCTAGAACCAATTCTAAGGAAAACCCCCATCCGCCTCAACGGGCCCCCTTATTCCATCCTGTCCCGAATGCTTTCTACGGGGGCTACAGATGGGTGAAGTCCTATAAAGGGAGGGGAGAGGGAGGGGGCGGGGGGGGGAACAGGGGGGACAGAAATCGGATCGATACGAGTGAAGTGAATGAAAAAGAGATTGATATACGTAAAATGGACAAAGATTGGATGCCCATGGGTTAAAAAAGTGGGTGAAGAGGGGATCGGTATGGCTAGAGGGGATGAGAGGGGACCGCTGTGGGTGAAAAGGAAACAGATCTGACGGTCAGGTGGCTATGGGTAAAGGGGGTGGAGATGGGATGACTATGGGTAGAGGGGAGAAAGACCGGATGGCCATGGGTGAAAGTAACAGTACCTCCGAGCAATGGCGAGCATCTTTTTGCTGAGACGGATTTCCCCTGAGTGGCAGGCTTTGCCAAATCACCAGTGCGAAATTTTTCCTTTACCGAAGGGGGAGTTGGGGGGTATAAATAGGGTCCAGACTCCAGACGGGTCTGAAGGGGGGTGGATGCCCAAATATCATTTTCCTACTTTATTTGATTTATCTTGAATTTGCCATTTGTCATTTGATGAATTTTAAAATTTTAAAATTTCAAAGTAATCCACGTAGTTTCCGTAATGTTGAATTTGACGAGCCATTCCAAAGTGATGCTTCCCGCATGAGCCATTTCAAACTGACGCTCCTCCCACCCCACCCAACCCCTGCTCCCCCCAACCCAAAAAAGTGGCCCTCGGCCAAAAGCCAGTCATATTGCAGAACTGACCCTCTGCAACAGTTTGTCATTTTCCCTCACTGACATTTTTCCTTTTTCCCTATTTGATACTTCTGTTTCAATCCAGAGCCCCGAAATCGGGTGCCCACCTGGCCAAGTAGCTCAGGTGCCCTCCCAGGCAGGCCGAGAACACTCAGGTGCCCTCCCGCAGGCCGAGACCACTCAGGTGCCCTTCTTGCCTCCAGACAGCCTAGAAATATCTTCAGAGAAGACATGTTTCCTTGGCCTTTGAACAAACTTGTGAAAATCTTTACGGGCATCCAATCAAACTGAGTCGAGACTGAGACGATTAGCATGGCCCCTGTGCAAGGATGACGAGACCTGTTTGATAAAAAATACAAGAAAAAAGGAAGAAAAAAAGGGAAAAAAAGGGAAAAAAGGGAAAAAAACGAAGAAGAAACTTACTTGTGGAAGAGCACCACACAGAACATCCCACCGAAATCATTGTCCCTCGTATTGCGACTGCAATGACACAACAAACAACGATAACCAACAAAAAGAGAACGCGCTCATCAGTCGGCAAACCAGTAAAACCCGACACGCTGTCAGAACTCGTCGACAGCTCCCCGCTATGTAGCTGCCCCTCTTTTGATGACGACCATCATTGCCACTGGTGGCGACAATGGTGATTGCGGCAAAGTGATGATGGCTGGCATCATGATGGTGAGGATGGACACGGTCTCGATGGTGTGCTGATGGTAACGGCGAGGACAATGGTGACGACACGCCGTCAGAACTCGTCGACAGCTCCCCGCTACGTAGCTGGCCCTGTTTTGATGACGACCATCATTGCCACTGGTGGCGACAATGGTGATTGCGGCAAAGTGATGATGGCTGACATCATGATGGTGAGGATGGACACGGTCTCGATGGTGTGCTGATGGTGACGGCGAGGACAATGGTGATGGCGATGATGTGGGGATGTCGACCATCATCATGATCAGAATGGTGAGATGAGGCAAAGGAGACAGTGACATGATGGTGGCAAGAGTGGACGATGCCGATCATTACCATCACGATTTATGATATGCTATTACGGAACCATCTAGCGACGATCCCGTCCTATCTTCTCCCTCCCGCCTCTGCCCCGCTATGACGTAACGACTGACAGTCAAAGGATTGCTGTCATGGCGACACTCCGCAGTAATGATGGCATGCATAGTGATGAAGCTGGCAGTCAGGAACAGGGGAGGGATGATCGTGGCGACCATGGTCAGCATAATGACAATGAAGATCTCTGTGTGTGTGTGTGTGTGTGTTATGAATTATCAACACAACTTCCCCTATTCCACCCAGATGAGTAGATCCAAAGCCATAGCAATTTTATATCTATTGCAGACAATGAAGCATGCTTAAGATGAGCCAATCCACCAATGAAACAGTTTTGCTTTTGAAGTCAATATCTATCCAAAACCACCTGAATCTTACCTTGCATACAAGCAATGAATCTCACCTTTATACAAGCAAGGCAACATATTTGCACCGACAGATAAACTAATACGAGACCCAATAAATCTGTTATATCGTTTTCTTTATTATGTTTTCATCAACTAACATTGGGAGGCCTCCCATTTTCTTTGTTTTTGCAGCTCCCCTCTTCCTGTGCCTATCACACACAAAGCTGGCCACGTTGATGATGGTTGAGCGCCAGCTGCCCACATCCCCGTGTGCCTTTACGGCCCACTTGCACACTAAAGAAAGAGGCAGAGTAAAAGGGTTACCTTGTGTTTTGTCTGTTCTCTTAAAAAGAGTCTTAATGATGCTCATTCATATGCATTTACTGGAAGTATACAAGGAGAGGGAGTANNNGAGAGAGAGAGAGAGAGAGAGAGAGAGAGAGAGAGAGAGAGAGAGAGAGAGAGAGAGAGAGAGAGAGTTCAGTAGGTTCTCTATACACACCGTTGGAGCAGACCAGCCTAGAATGACATGAAAGGTCAGTCAGTGTTCGGGTTGCAGGATGATTTTTGTTGAGGAGTAGCCGTTGGGATTGTGACATGAGAGGTCAGCCAGTGTTCGGGTTACAGTCTGTGTGTGGCGTCGAACCTCAAGGGATTGTGCATTCTTCTTGAGATCCAAAAATGACTTCCTCAGCACTTTGTACGATCCAGCACCATCGCACACCACTTTCTCACTCAGTAAAGTTCTGTCCTTTATGTGCAACGACTTGATCACTCCTAGAAGAGGATAACTACGTGAGTGAGAGGCCATCGTTGTACTTGCAAGGGGCTTGTGAGGGGGCCTGTTACGCAGGTCTGAGACAGAAGGTCGACGGGTTGTTGAACAGGGGGTAGATTGGGAAAGATTGTTTCGCTGTGCAACTCCAAGAATTGGACGAAGAGCAGGTGGGGATTTATGTGCTTCGAGTGCAAAGGTAAGGTAGGGTATCGCTATGTCGATAGCCCCAGTGATGACCGAAAAGCGCATAGCGATCGAGGATGTTGGCCATGGACTCCGACGCTTGATCGTCGGTGGTGCTGTCAAGATGCTGTGATAACTTATATGTGTACCAGCGTTTGGAGCAAATTGCCGTGTTGTGCGATGTTTTATCAACTGGTACTAAGGCAAAGTGCTGCTGCAGCTGCTTCAGAGATATATTGGCGATTCGTGATGCAGCCTGAGTAGGTACCTAGTACAAGGCTCTAGAAAGATTCCGTTGGTACCTACTACGAGGCTCTAGAATGATTCCTTTGGCACTGAAACTTGGTTTGGACGAGTATCTTGAAATGATTGCTGTGGAGTCATTGTTTCGTGCTGATCTCATATGTGGTTGCTGCAAACTTAGCAATATACTCGTCCAAACCAAGTTTCAGTGCTTTTATCACATCTGCAGTGTCAGCATTGAGACCGTACTTGGAGCCTTCAACGAAGAGGGCCCGTAGATGTGTGCCTTGTATACTAGAGCAGTCCACTGTGGCTACATGACCATCAAGTCTGTACAGCAAGGGAACGCTCATCGACAGGGACAATCACTAGGGTTTGGAGGCGGCATATTGGGTGTTATCCTGAGTGCGACTTCTGTAAAATGACAGGACCGGACACGAATGGGTGGGGCCATCTTGTCGCCGATACGTACTTCCTTGGCAAAAGCAGGCCCCGGATGCAATTCTGCGACCTCTGGTAACTGAAGAACGCCCCGTAGTTGTGTTGACATATTCACTATACAGTAGTATACACTCAAGAAAAGCATGACTGTGCCAGACTGTTTCGTCGGACTTTCACTGACTCATCAGGAGGTTGAACCCCGACAGTCTGCCCAGGACTCATTTGGCTGATGGATAAGGACTCACCACATCGCCCAGAGTTAGCGATACCCCTGAGAGAGAAAAGTGGTCGACTTTACTCACACCAACCTTGCAATCCTAGCAGACTGCCGGTCCAAACCCTTGACAACAATGGTAGTAAGCCTGAGAAACTAATCAGGCACAGTCATAAAACCCACTCTACACACCCACTTAGCCATGGACACGCAATGGCATGTGTGCATGTGCATGTGTGTGTGTGTACAGAGAGAGAGAGAGAGAGAGAGAGAGAGAGAGAGAGAGAGAGAGAGAGAGAGAGAGAGAGAGAGAGAGAGAGANGAGAGAGAGAGAGAGAGAGAGAGAGAGAGAGAGAGAGAGAGAGAGAGAGAGAGAGAGAGAGAGAGAGAGAGAGAGAGACCTGCGAGGGCGGATTTGCCTGAGAACTGCAATCTTCCACAGGCCATGTGCTGCCAGTCATTACATGAGAAGTTTCAGAAATTGGCTCTTTGCTTTGTCATACAATATTTCGGAAATGCAAAGTTGTTGTATTCAATAAGCAAATTTACAAGATGCTTCGTGGTGGCTGTTTCACCCAAGGTCACAATCGATGACCTGAGAGCTCTTGGGATCCACCAGTTAACAAGTCAGTACAGCACAGTCCAGCGATTTCTCAGATCAAGCAGCTCAGTCATATGCGCCATTTGAAATTTGAATCACGCAGAGGAGAAAAGGTAGCAGGTTATAGCAGATTTCAGGGCCAAAGCTCTGAAAAACGTGTTAAGAGTTTGATGTGCCGAGTTTGAAGCTCACCTGTGAACCATGAGTGGAATGATGTTGCGCCCTGAGGAGCCTTCGACCATTGGGTCAAAGCATTCCTGTTGAGTCATCCACAGACCAGATGACGATCAGGATCATCACAGTGACGAGATCAAATGCTCGTGCGTTTCACACACGCTCCACAAATTTCAAACAGAATTTCGGGGCAAATTTCACACAGAAATTGTGACAGAATTCAATTCATCCCCCTCCTCTGAGCCCACAAACACACACGTAAAAAAAAAAAAGAAAAAAAAAAAAGAAAACACTACGGTAAACACACACGATGGTAAACCACTGAACCCTAAATCAAAAAGGTTTCACTGGACTGACGTTTCACAGAGAACCGTAACAAGCATTGAGGCAGGACATCAGCCTGTTAGACAATCAGATATGGAGCTGCCGGCCGATAAAAAAAGGGAAAAAAAAAAGAAAAAAAGGAAAAAAAACCAACCATGTCAGCGATTTCCACTGCATCACAGCTTCATCTTTTTACTTTTTTTTCCTAATAATAAAGCTTTTCTTTCCCCCTGAAAGGGGTAGGCCCTAACCTTCGTATCCATCTGATTCTCATCACCTGTTCATCAACAGTTGCATGTGTGTACCATTCAGCCACACGGGCTTGGTAGCATCAGAGCTTCAAAGGGTGTTAAAAAAAAACAAAAAAAGGGGGGGATCATGGGGGCAGTTTTCACTCCATCAGAAGGTTGAACGAAAAACAGAAAAAAGCTGAAAAAACAAAACCCTCCACCCATACATGCAAATGCACGCCGTCTGAGCAATTGTGCACGTACGGCGCACAAGTGCACGGAATCCGTGCAGCACATGGCAATGCGGCACGCGGGGAAATAGACACCAAGAAAAAAAAAAGGGTCACAAGCATGGATCAGTGGTCACCTGCACCCCCTTTGTAGCAATGAACCATGAAAAGAAAGAAAAGGGAAAAACCAAGCTGGGAGAGCAATGTCGCCACCTAGCGGCCAAGACTGATCTCCCAGAAACCTGTTTTATGCTATTTTTGATGCTCAATCGGACAAAACAAAAAATTGCACTGCTGTACTTGAGCAGGATCTCTTGATTCTCTTCCTTAGGTAGTACACTATTCTGCATCTACAAAAACAGCAAAAAAAACAAAAAAAAACAAAGAAAACCCACAAATTGTCCTTCGGGACATCCGTTAAAATTGGAACGATACAGAGAAGATTAGCATGGCCCCTGCACAAGGATGACACGCATAAATCGAGAAATGCTCCAAATCAAAAAAAAAAAAAAAAAAAACCCAAATTGTTGCTGGTGCGGCGCACCGCACTGTACGGCCGTGTGGCTCGTGCCGGTTGCAAGTATGCCTGCACCTTAAGGTAAGGCTTCCAAGGGGATAGCTCTGTAGTGGGTGGCACCATCAGTAATACCGTCTTCCCCCAGATAAAGCGTACTGTGAGGATCTGGGTCCTCGGCACGCCTAAGGGCCCCCTGTTGCATACGTGCCCGCCCTAAGTGAAGGCGGGCCTAACAAATCATGAGAGGCCCTCGACTGACAATTTCCTATTTGGAGGTCCAGACAGTTGCGACGCGCCAGTTGGTTAAGGGAAATACAGGCCGAGCAACAAAGACATTCCACGGCCTTCTGGGCCTATCGAAGAATGAAGGCCCTGGGCGAGAATCGCAGCCTCATACTCTGACAGTTGTGAGGCCCAACCGAAAGAGGCCCAGTAGCTGCAACACAAGCGCAACATCCTGGGGCCTACCGGAAGCTTCTGGGCCCAGGCCAGTCCAGCCAGGCTGCGAAGGCAGGAGGCTCTTTCCATATAGGAAAGAGCTCGCCACCGGCAGAGGGATTCGGACACTTGCGTGCTAGCGGCAGCGCTGCTGGAGCGGACGCTCGCGGGCTGTAGCTGGCACTGAGAGGCAAGGTGCAAGCACGTGCGGTCGTGTGTGAGTGAGGGCGCTGTTGAGGGCAGCGCCAGAGCCCAGCCTCCATAGCTGGATGGGCTTGGACTACAGTGAGGCGCAGGGGGTGGTCTTCGGGTGTATAGAGGGAAGACGTGGGTGTCAGACGATGAGAGAGAAGGATGATGATGATGATGTGAGGGCACATACCTGGTATTCGTGATGATCTGCTATGGGCGACATCTTTAAGTACTTCGTTGGCTGCTGACGTCAACAGTTGCATTGTCAATTAGTAGGCTAGAAGTAGCTGTGTAGGGAGTAGGCTGGGCGCCGAGCGCCAAGTAGGGAGAAGGGCCTGGATACATATGTTGGTGGTGGCAAGAGCAAGCTCTCATTTACAATGGCTTTCACTTTTACGATTCTCCATTGGTATCTTATTGGTGCAATGCCACTTTCTGAACACTGTGCTACGATCTGGCTTTCAATGTGATTCTGCAATCTGAATATTGTCATCTCGCTTTTGCTCATTTTCCTTACAGTACCGTCATTACAGCTGGTATTTGCGCCCACTTCCAGTCTAGATACATCAATAATGACCATACCGTCTATTTGGGTGACGACGGCAGAGATGAGCAAGGGGACAGTCAGAATGTTGGGGTCACACGATACTTCACATGGAAATGAGGAAGGATGGAAAGATGCAGCAGGGGCTGGACGATAGCAGGGGAGGGGAGCATGGAGGGAGTGAGGTTGGAATACGTGGAGGGAGTAGGAGTGGGGTTGGAATACGTGTCACATGCAGCGGGAAACAGACATCACACTGTTCACAGTGTTCGCACACAAAAGGGAAAGTATGTGGAAGTGCCTGGGGGCTTTGCTGGAAACTTTACACACGGTGAAGGGCAGAGTGTTGAGGCGGGTTGCGGTATGGTTTGCCCTTGCATTGAGCGAAGGGGGTGTTTCGACAATAGGAGAGTCATAATACAGTTTGAACACAAGGGGAGGAGAGGGGCAAGGAGACAGTCTAGGAGGGTTCAAGATGTTGTTTTCTCAACAGAAATAAAAGTCAAAGAGAAAAAAAGCAGGAGGGGAAAGGGGAAAAGAAAAAAAAAAAGATAAAAGAAAAAGTAGCAGCAACTGCCCTAGCTCAGTTAGTTCACCCATGAACTGCTCAACTGCTGAAATGCGGACCTAAATTCGACCTCCACCGGATGCAGACCTAAGTTCAACGTCCACTGGAAGCAAGATATGTCAAGGCCTTCGCAGCATCGCACTTTTAGAAAAAGAGAGGAAGATGAAAAGGGAGGGGAAAAAAAAACAAAGAAAAAGAAGGAAAAAAAAAGGAAAAACTGCCGAAGTTGGGGTGCTCACAATCTGTGAACCCAGGGTTGTCATGCGGGGATCTCAGGGGGCCGAGCCAGGGTTGGGGTTTGACCGCCACCCCTACCCTCGCTTTTTGACCTCCGCACCTGCCCCAACCCCT